GTTAATAGATCTACCATACAAGGAATACTTAGGTCAGCTATTATTGTGTTAGCTAACAGATCTATCATACAAGGAATATTTAGGTCAGGTGTTATTGTGTTAGTTAATAGATCTATCATACAAGGAATATCTAAGTCAGGTGTTATTGTGTTAATTAATAGATCTATCATACAAGGAATATTTAGGTCAGGTGTTATTGTGTTTGTTAATAGATCTATTATACAAGGAATATCTAAGTCAGGTGTTATTGTGTTAGTTAATAGACCTATCATACAAGGAATATCTAAGTCAGGTGTTATTGTGTTAGTTAATAGATCTATCATACAAGGAATATTTAGGTCAGCTATTATTGTATTAGTTAATAGATCTATCTGGGTGTTATTTTAAAGAAAATTATGTACATAACGTCTTGTGAAGGTGAAGAAAGGTCACAGTCGATACAGCCAGCAACGTCACATGGAACCTTCAAAAACTCGAAAGGATAAAAATAAAACACTGAATGATTTGTATTGCTAACTCCAGCTATTATGCATAAGTAATACTGTCCAAAATGTATGGATCTTTTTGAGTTAGAATGGAGTGTGACTCCTAATATGTCCTGCTAAGACTCGCGATAGGTTGATTTATTTAACATACCTTAAGTTACCAAATCGCTACCGAAGTAAATATTATATTTAAAATACTATTAGTCGTCAAAACGATGCTAGTATAAAATTGATGAATGGGGATGAATATAACAGGAGGGAATCTTCAATAGACCCTGCATTTGAAATTCTTCTAGGCAGGACTAGAGTAAATTAATCTATCAGACCTTTTTTTTTATTATTATTATCTTCATTTTTGTGCACCGGCAATACTAAGCGTGGGGCGTGCATATACCCAATTCGATTTTATTACTCATCAGGATCTTTACCAGCCTACCCTCAAACTGAAATTATTTTAGGCAGGATTAGAGTAAATTAATCTATGAAACCTTGGGCGTGGTCAAATACATCAATCAAAAGGGTTTAGCTTCATGAGTCCAAAAATGTAATTAGATCTCAAATCGGGCAAGAGATAACGGAGCTATGAGCTAAAAGTTTGCACTTGAAAAAAAAAAAAAACTCGGAGCCATTCTATGAGCTGCTATGCCGAGGCTAAAAATACTGGCATAAGTATGATAAGCGTCATAGACCTAAAACGTAAAATAAAAATAATATCCCTTATTATTTATTCAAACGAATATTTCATTCTGTGGAGGGTAAAATCCCATAGGATTCAACATAAGAAAACATCCAACACCGAGATAACCATTAGGACCTCTCGCACACACAGGTAACAACAAAAATGGTAGCATAAATGCTGAATACGGCCTAGTTATTAGCGTGTCAAACTGTGGATCGAATGGTCCAAGGTTCGAGCCACGACGCCACTGAACATGCTCCACAAACCAATCCCGTTATTTATTTCAAAGCTGGACAAATCATTTGTGATTTATCAGTGTTTGTATTTACTAAATATTTCCACATATTTTGCTGCAAACAGTAAACATTTTAGTTATTTTGTGAAATCTCGTTCGAAAATTATTAAGTTTGGACCATAATTTTCCTACAAAAGCATGTAGTGCACTATATTTGCGCATCTTTTAGGGCACCTAGAAATTAGCCTTCGGAAAAATGCAAATTTTTATACTGCGTTATTTATTTTTCAGCTCACAGTGCCCTTTCATTAGTGATAAAATACGTACAAAAATAATATTCCGAATATAAGTTAACATACTTGACGAAAATCGGAAGACTTTCCTAACGTCGTCCTCTACACTTGTGTTTTTACAACAGGCAATTACCGTCCATTCCAGTTTACTCATCATGAAAAACTCTGCATAAACAATCTATCAAAGAATAACTTGACAACATTAGAAAAAGAACAGAAATTATATCTGATGTATCCCCACCTTTTAATTTTCAAATAGTAGTCAACAACATCAAAAATTACATTAACCAATAACTTATATTATGTAAAAGAAATGAAGTTGAGAAATTTCAATTATTAATTTTAGTAACTTTAAACCGACCACGTTAAATTACCTGTTAGCAACACACGTTCAATTGAAGTTTAAAACGTACTGTTCCACCATGGAGTTACGTTAATATTTTTGATAGTGGTGTCAGATTGCAGCCATTACTCAGAATACTGATGGAGAAGGAGTATAACTAACCAGCTATTTGTTTGATTGCTTGCATCCGAAACCTTATATAAAGTGAATTTCAGTGTATGAATCGTACCAAACTTTTAGGTAAGGCGGGCAGACGAAAAGCGTGTGTAAAAACTAAACCTTAAATAATTTTGCAAATACCTAGCATGGAAACGTTATTCACGCATAATATAATTTTAAAACATTTGTGTACATGAAATTTTTAGTGATGACCGTTCCTGTGAAAACAAACTGTTTATTAACCGCTTTTAAAGTTGCCTTTTATTCGATCGTTTCTCCGTGTCTTTGATCTCGCTAAGGATATCTTCTTTGATACAAAACTATGTAATTTAAAAATTCTCAAAATGAAATTTCAAGTGTAGTTAGCCGAATAATTTGTATATGATGACTCTGTTTCGATCTAGCTTCCGGCATTTGACCGATAGTTGTAATTTATTTTTCTCCTATTATTTTACCGTATTGTTTACTATGGTGTGGAGTGAATGCCTCTCCCATTATTTTACCGTATTGTTTACTGTAGTATGGAGTCAATGCCTCTCCCATTATTTTACCGTATTGTTTACTGTAGTATGGAGTCAATGCCTCTCCCATTATTTTACCGTATTGTTTACTGTAGTATGGAGTCAATGCCTCTCCCATTATTTTACCGTATTGTTTACTATGGTGTGGAGTGAATGCCTCTCCCATTATTTTACCGTATTGTTTACTGTAGTATGGAGTCAATGCCTCTGTGCACGAGATGCAATGGTTTTACCTTATAACATATTTGCAAAAGAAATCATGGAGAACAATTTGACCTTAGCGTTGACGTTTACAAGAACATCAAGAAAATATAGATTCTGCACTCGAATTGTAATTACTTCACAAAGAGATGTCCATAAATATAGTGAAAAAAGTTACACTACACTGGTAGAGTCATATATATACAATTATACTGTGATCATTTACTAATTAGATCAAAATTAAGATTTAGCAATACATTTGCATAAAACAAATGTTATGAACAAACTAAAAACCAACTTTACCAATGCCTTTTGAAGACAATGTTTGTCACAGAGAGAATCAGTACGACTGTAACTGAACACTGTGAGGGTACTTGAAGCTAATAACTAATGTTTGTTTGTTCCATAAGTAAAGTATACTTTACTATTTCTTTAAAGTTATCAGTTAGGTACGTTTAATTTCTTATTATTCGAGTTATATTATACAATGCAACATAATGTATGTATTAAGGACTAATCTCAATCTCCTAAACTGGTTGAATCTCGTGAGAGATTATTAGGTTTACTGCCAAAAATATCGTTGACATCGAGGGTACCCATGAAAAGAAACAATGCTTTATAATCTTTATAACTTAGAGCTTAAGAGCAATATATTTAATTAGCCATGCTTGTTTCCAGGTTGTCTTATCTTTGATCTAAGTAGATTGCCTGCTCTAATTGGAAGTTAATATTGATTACTGAGGCTAAACTAAATCACTAAAGTCACACCCATTCTCATGATTTTGTTAACAAGGGAACGAAATCTATATTTATTTAATAAAAGGAGCTGTTTTACTCACTGTTCCTTCTCAATTCGAGTACGGAATAAACACTTGCTAATAACATGGGCATTTTTGTAATAACAATTTTACTATATTTCGAGGCCAAGCATGGCCAGGTGGTTAGGGCGCTCGACTCGCCATCTGCGGGTCGCGGGTTCGAATCCCCGTTACACCAAACATGCTCGCCCTTTCAGCCGAGGGGGCGTTATAATGTGACGGTCAATCCCACTATTCGTTGGTAAAAGAGTAGCCCAAGAGTTGGCGGTGGGTGGG